CGTGTGAGAAAAACGTTTGGTTCCCCCCAGCGCTGGGAACCGTGCACACCTAAGTAAACACATTAGTACCTGCCAGGGGGATTTGTATAGAAGACAGCTGAAGAAGGCATTGGCCTCTGCTGGCATTCTGGGACTCCCAAGAGAGATCAAAGGGACACGAGGGGGTTTTTAGCAGCCTTGAGACTGGGAAAAGTTGCTAGTTCCTGCTATCGAAGGGACGTCCCAGAGAGCACATGGTTCAATTATTCAACCTCTTCCCTCCCCTGCCCCCCACTCCTATTCCCCCCGTCTGGAAACCAGCTCATTTTCCACAGAAAGGTGAAAGCTCTGGAAAAAGCGTACGGGTCCCTCAACCCAGCAACGACCCAAGCAGTATTTTTTCCCTGCGGGAAATAGCTGTTGGGTTGAAGCCTGTCCGGGTTGCCTTCGAGCTCGGAAAATAAGCTGAGCCCGCTGCCGGCCGGCCGCCCCCCTCCCTCTTCGCTTTGCAGACAGTTTTACAGAGGGAAACGCAGATGCAAAATAAAAATTGGGCTTTAAAACACGGACGGCGTCGTTTCGGAGGAGAGCAGTAACAAAACCGAGTGGCCACGCAAATACACCGTCTCCGCCGGTTGCTTCTCCCGGGGGCACAGAGGGGCCAGCGCAGCCCCCGAACGTTTTTGTATTCATCTAAAGTTTGATAACTTTGTTCGTGGCCCTTCTGGAAAAAAACTGGATTAAATCACAAACCTCTTGTCCTTACCCAGTTATTATCCTTTGATTGTGTGATTTCAGGGCCCTGTTTGCTTTGGCTTTGGGCTTAGGTAAAGATTATCGTTATTAATATCAAACACAAACATTTTAACTGCAAACACAGTGAGGACCTTCGCTGGGAAGCTCGGCATGTCGGCCGCAGCCGCGGGGGTCACGGAGAGTCTCTTCGGGAGGTATTTTCTTTATTTAATGAAAAACCTTCGTTAGTCAAACTTACTCCAAACAATCGCTCAAGTTACTCTGCTGCTGAGGGCGACGCTGCCGTGGGGGTCCGACCGGGACGACGGGGCAGTTTGTTGAGGTTAATTGCCCGCATGAGGATAAATCTAACAGCAGGCGGGGTGTTTGCGTGATACTGTATTTTCGAAGGTGCTTCAACACAGTTCTTGCTGTGGAAAGTGGATCCTACGGGTTTTCTTTCAGTGGGATTTTGCCCGAGACGTAGTGAACTGTATGGTAGCCCTTCTCCTTAATCGAGTGAGAATCGAAACAAGTTATTAAGGAAGGCGATCGGCTACGAAACCGATTCGAAATTTTCCATTCCTAATCAAACCCCTTGATTACAGAAGCCTCTCCTTGATAACAGCTTCGCTCTTTCGCCAAAATTCAGAGATTGCATGCAAAAATCGGAGTTCCCCGAAGCGCCGCTTTCCGAATAGCCCGCGGGTGCCCTAAGGAAAAGGGTTTATTTCAAGCCAGAAAAGGGGGAAAAACTGTCTCCACGTCCTCTCGCTACATGCCCATCACACTATGTCGCCGCAATTAGTCCTTACAACAGAATATCCCAGCAGAGAGCAGTTAGAACAATTACTTAACCGGTTTAAAAACCAAGCGGGCCACGGCGCACGAGAAGGGCGAAAGGACGGCACCGCGAGAGAGACAGCTCAAGGAAGGTCTCTTTCAAGAGCTTCCCTTTCCGACAGACGTACCCGTGCCAGTGCCGGCCGAGAAGGGTGAGACCTTCCAGAAACGTGGCTGTGACCCTTCAAAAAACAAAAACAAAAAATAAATCAAGGGTTAAAGTTGACCAGGAGAGCGCCCACGGGCAGATTTAAAGTAGCAGCCCTTTGCTTTTGTCAGCTCGTCTGGAGAGCCCCCGTGTGTGTGTGTGTGTGTGTGTGTAACGAAGAGTGTGTTAGTTCCTGGTGGTCGCCCCTTCCTGGGATTATAAACAATCTGTTACAAGCCGTAAAGTTCTGACTGTGCGTAGCTCCCGCTCCACCATCCTCAGAGAGCCTTGTGTTTTTTTACATCACTGAGTGAAAGGCTTCATATGTTGGGCCCCCCACCCCACCCCCCTTTCGGCCACTTAACTCTTTCCTCCCTGAGGGACCCCGTTCTCTTTTCCCTCAGGCTCAGGGAAGTCAAGGGGAGTTACCTTTCCTCGGAAGAAGTCACAGCCCTCCAGCCCCCAAGGGAGCTGGCTCCTGTCAGAGCCTTTCGCTGCCCCATTAAGGTAGCAGGCCTATAAATTGTGCTGCAGACAGGGCCTGGGTTCAAGTCCTCCGGCGCCGAAAGGAAAAGGTGAGACGCGCTGAGAAGATCAGAGGGAAGGCGATAAATTAAAACCCGGGAGGCCGAGCCGCTTCTCAAGGACTGGGGCTGTGCTTGGGCTTTCCCCTTTCCCCTGCAGCATGTGCAGATCAGATAAAATAAAGCTCTGGACAAGGCGGGAGAAGCGTCCTGGCGAGCTAAGCAAGTGGCGTTGTCGGACGTTTGAGGGGAGCAATAATAAAGCCGTCCGCGGCGCGGAGGCGCGTTTCACCAAGCACCGCAGGGAAACGGCCCGCGGAGCGCAGCGCGCCTCCAGGCGCTCGCCCCGGCGCCGCGGGTGCACAGCTCCTTCCCGGGCACCCCCCCACCACTCCCCAAACGCCTGCCCTGCTTCCTGGGGGAAAAACAGGGCAGGGTGCGGTCCTAGGCAAGGAGAGGCACTCCCCAGAGGAGGAAACGAAGGAAAATCTGTCCTGAGTGCAGCCTCCCAGTCACACAGCTTTGTGCCTCGGCTACATAAGGTCTGAATCTTCGGGGCTTGATCTCGCTGAAGTCAGTGGCAGATTTTAACTCCAGGATCGGGTTATTATTTAATTACGGGGAGGGGGAGAAACACTGTAACACAAAGAGCTTTATTTTACAATCCAAGAAATCCGTCTGTTCTTATATACAATATCACATTCCATCATTTAAATATATATTTGTCATGTTTACAAAAGAAAAGACAGTACTAAAATTATTTACAGAAATGAAACGAGGCGGGAACTCTTTAAATACGGGCTAACACGAAATGCAACCAACAGCTTCACTCAGATAGGAATGAACTTTTCGGTGAGAATCAGACAAAGCGGATCACCGCTACACCGCTACACAAGTAAGTATCTATTCTAAAAAAGGGAGGAGGGGTGGTCTATGCAATGAAGTTTAGAGAAAACAAAACTCAGGAAAAAGAAAAAGAGGGGAAAGAAAAGGGGGAAAAGTCTGTATGGTTCGAGTCGGTGAGGGCCATTTTCTTTGGGGAAAGTGTGCCTTGACTCGACCTTAACAAGGCCCCTGCCTGGGCTTTCCACTATATTAACTTAATTCATTATTTAGGTTGGGGAGGGGAGGGCTCCTTCTCCGTTAAATATACTACCAGACCGACTGGATTTATTTCTCCACCACTTCCTCCACGCTGGGTAGTTTGGGCTCGTCGGAAGAGATACTGTCCACTATGGAAGAGAGACAGCGAAGGCTGCTGGAAGCCGACGACTCGACGATGGAGCCCCCTGCTTAATAAGAAAAATAAGAGTTTACGGAGCAAACGGTTCCTCCTCGCTAGACACCTCTCCGGGTGCGCGGAGCCGGCAGGAGAGCGGGAGCGCCGCAGGGTGAGAGACCGAAGCCGC